AGTAAAAAAAATTGAAAAAATTTCGAAAATTAGCGATTTTTAAATTTGTAATTTTTTTGGAGGTTTCCCCCATTTACGGGGAACGAGGGAAATTTTTTCAATTTTGAAGGGTAATGTCTTCGACTAGATACAATTTGTGATCTTTTGACGTATCGTTGAAAGAAATCCGTTCGGTGAGAGCTGAGAAAAAGTGGTAACAGACACAAAAAAAAAAAAAAAACACATCATAGTAAAACCAATACCATCTCAGCTTCGCATCGAAGCTAAAATGTTAAAGTACTAAAGTAATTTTTTGACTAAATGTGGGCGGATGATAGGTTACAATAAAAAATGAAAAGTGAAACGCATTACTATTTAAAACTATCAACTACGTTTTCATTCTGATTTGAAATTCAATGTCATGCTCTGTGTGATGTATTTTATTACTTAATGTTATGTTTGACTAAAATGTTCAGTCATCCTTCTGCTGTAGGTGCTGTTGACAATTTTTTAACGATTTCTCTACGATCGTCCGATTTAAAACGAGTTTATATATAATTTTTATTCAATTGATTATCTGTAAAAAGTGAAATTCACTATTTGTTGCACTTTTTCTTTTTCGTTTTCCGTCATCTCGTCAAAATTTCGAATTACGCTAATATTACAAAATTTCTTTAGTGTAAATTATTAAAAAATCAAGTGATTGTTATTTGGTTATATTACATTTTTTTTTTACGTCTATGTAAATATAATTGTGATGTTATGATGTATATTTCATGAATACCATGCCTTGTATTCAAGCATAATAGTATGAAATAGAGCAAGTGTAAATAAATATAAGCAATAGTAAGTTTATTATTCTATATTTTTAGAATTTCAGTACCTATTAGTTAAGATTGATATATTCTATTCCTTTATTAAATTGTTAAAGAGTTATCGTATCGTATTAAATCATTATCTGCTATGTAATTCAAAGTTACAAATAAACATTTAAAACAAATTATTTAACTAACCCCATTCAATTAAATTTATTAATTTATCTTTAAACTCGTCCATATGTTCTGTATTAAAAATATATTTTAATAATTTATCGCTTTTCGTACAATGACGCAACCAAGATTTTTTTCCTAAGAATTCATGGTTTTGAATTTTTTTTGTTCATTATTAAAAAGAAATCATTAAAAGATCAAAAGTTTTTGATCCCTTGATATTTCTTTTTTGTGTGTATAGTCTTATAAAATTATCGTGAATTGCTACTAATTCTTAAAGTGTGGAGAGCTTTAATTCCCAAAACCTACCATAGATTGCGTATCTGTATTATATTAAAAGAATTCTCTAAAATTAGTGATAAATTCTAGTATAGATATAAGTTAGATAAATTTATAGAATAGTATTAGAAACAATGCTTTTGATAGTATATTAATAATCAATTACCTTCCAACTGCTACAGCTCCAAGTCCTAGTGCTGCGCCTCCAGCAACTAAACCAAGTGCTGGTAATAGTACTGATGGTGTAGCAACCATTCCGAGTTTTTCTTTGACAACATTGGTGAGTTCTCGGTTTCCATTCGAAAGACCTAAATTTCCAGTAATTTTATGTGTAGCTTCTACTAAAGGATCTACAACGGGCTTAGTTAAATATGTGACTTGATCTAAGCTTGATTTCATTTTATCCTTCATAATTGTCCACAGTGAACTTTCTTCATTAATGAAATAATTTGGAGCATATTTACCGTGTTTTTCTGGGAAATTATAGTATGGGGAATATTTTTTAGGAACTTTAACCCTTGATTCTTTTTCTAAACCGGGTTCAAATGCAAAAGGACTTCTATCCGCGTGAATGTCATGAGAGAAGTGTGCTAAAGCCTGTTGTCTTCTTCCGTCCCTTGGCGTTTCTTCTGGTGGAACATATTTAGCAGCTTGTATTCCCAATTCTGGATGTGCATATTGCAAAACTGGAGTTCTAGCACTTTCTTCAAATGATACTTTTGATACTTTTTTAGGTGGTGAATACATTGCTGAATTTGGAAATACACTAACACTTGGAGCATGTAAAACACGAGCTTCTGCTTGAGGTTCGACCATTCTTGCTGTTCGACGGTCATTACTTAAAATATCTCCATTAATATTCTTAATGTAACCCAAAATTTTATCAGTCATATAATTTTCATTTTGAATAGCATCTTGAAAAGTAAATTTTTGATCATTATTAGAAATAATCTGAACTTTATCTGATTCTGGTTTTTTTTTATAAACTTGCCAAACTCCATTAAACATAGATGCAACGGGCTTATATTCTTCTTTCATCACTTTTTGTTCAGTTTTGTTGGTATTTGGTACTAAAATACCATTGATCACTCTCGCGTTTCTCCAAATTTGATGGTCATTTTCGTCATCTGGTTCCCGAACTCCCGTTATAACTGGTATACCGTCTGTGTCAACATGGAACAGACTTCTGGATTTTTTTTCATCTTCTTTTTTATTTTTTACGAACACCGAATCTGATCGTATTACTACAGGGTCTGGTAAGTCTATGACTTCTTTTGTATTTGGCGTGATTGATTTTGTTTCGGATTTTACCGTAGGCTCAGGGAAATGTTGTCTTCCGTCACGTTTTTTAATTACAATAGTAGCAACATCACCAGTTCGCGTCTTGACTTCTAAAGTTTCCATAGCATTTGGATCAAGATTTCTGGCTACTTTGATGGATGTTCTTGTCATTTGAACATTTTCTGGTTCAGAATTAACAAGAAGGGGTAAAATGATTAACAATATTTGTATTTTCCACATCTAGAACAAATAAAAATAAAAAATTCAATTATATAATAACGATATTTTATTTTACTTAACTTGATTCTTATTAAAAAAAATACAACTGTACCATGAAAGTACATATATTTTGTTATATATATAAACAATTCTACAGTCATAATGATAGTTATTGTAACATATGTCTTGTTTGTTTTAGCATTGTCTAACTGAGTATGTTTCTGGCTTAACTGCTACAAAAATGTGAATAAATACTAGTTATACAAATTATACTTAATATGTTTGTTCCCATTTTTCTTTTAGTTTTTACTTTTATGCTAAATAACCTTCAGTGGGGAATATTTACATGGAAAATTATTGTTTTATTTTTTGACAATACATTGATTACATATTGTTTACATAGATATCAGTGACTTAATTTACGACAACAAAATAGAAACGTCGTAATTTCTTATGAAGTAAGAGTATATCTAGAAACAAATTAATAACGCACAATGTGTGATTATTTCATTTCATTCAGTGTTACAAATGCCATTGACCTTAGGATTAGAGTATACTTTCCCTTCTGTAGGTAATGCTTATTCTAGACAGGTCCCAACGGTGAAACGCACGTTTTCGTCTTTTATCGGTTTAACAAATGTTTAAATTTAATTGTTTATACTGTATATAGAAATGCAGAAGATTTTCTTATTGGGAAAATTGAAAAATTAAAATAACTGTTGACGGATTTTGATACATGCAACGAATATAATTTTTGCTGGATATTTACTATTTACATGTAATGACCAATGTATATAATGTATACACACAAGTAGTCATAAGTTTCTCACACTTTCACTTGTTTTACCGGATGCATCTATCTATCCAATGTCACGAATATTCTTGGTAATTGAAACACAAACGTATATAAAATAAGTAAATGTGAGTAATCGTTTAACACTGTTTTCTTTAGGATTTTTGAACGTTTATTAAAATTATTTTAATAAAATTGACAGATGTATAATCTAGTTCTAATATTAATAGTTTTTCTTGGGGTAAATATTTCATGAAAAATGTATCTTTTTTTAACATAAAAAAATTACTTCTTCATTGTAGTTCAAAAACCCTAATCTATAAAATACTCTTGTGAGCTTATAAGTAATTAATTTGTGGTTTAATTTATTTTATTGTAATAAAATCAATCATTTTAATAGTTAGAATTTCAATAATTAAAATTTATATTGTACTTTTAAATTTTTATTATCTTTATGTTTGATAAAGATAATCCATACATATTTTATTTTTGAGATTAATATGGTTTCATAAATTGTAAAAAATGAGAGCCTTTAGTCATAACATTTTTTTCTATATTAATATTTTTTATGTTAGTACCTTTTTGAAAGGGTATAAACTAGTGATGGGAAATATCGAATAGTAACTATCGAACTATTCGATAGTTACACAATATATTCGAATAATTTTTAAAACTATTCGATTGTCTATGCTGAAAATAAACTATTCGGTTGTATAAAAACAATTAGATTAATTACTCAATAGTTTAAACTACTCGAAAATGCCCATCACTAGTATAAACTGGTATTAATGTTTTTAAATCTGTAAGTCGGTGACAAACCAATACCCCACTTTAAACAGTTGTTTTGAATTTTAGTAAAATAGGGATTACATTAAATATAATTCCTAACATAGTATAAATATTAATATTATAAATTAATAAACTAATAGTATTAATTTTATATTATTAGTCATCATACTGATTATATCATTAAAAAAATTTCTTTTATTTTCGTTGAATTACATATGATAAAGTATTATATCTTTGACAGCATAGATTTTATAATATTTTGATTTTTTTGTAAAAACGCACTTTTAAAATTTCATTGCAAATTTAGAGTATTTAAAAATACATAAAACGTGATAAAAATTATTTTTATTTCTATTAAGTTTCAATCAAAAACAGTTTATTGAATTTTAATAAACTTTTTCTATTCACGAAAAATTAAAAAAACATGAGTGTGTATTTGGTATCTTAACTTAAACCAAATTTAAATTGAAAATATCTAAGTTAAATCTATTATTTAAAAAAGATTTAAGTGCTATTGAAACGGAATATGATAAAAATATTACTTTCTTGGTTAGGGATGGTATCAGGAGCGGTTTCAGAACTTTTCAAACATGGAATGTTTACGAAAAGTTTTTGGACGAATAACTATTTATTTTTCACATATTTTACTGTTCAAAATACTTTTGTTAAGTAGGTGTTGATAATTCAAGGAGGGGGCACGTGCCCCCTTTAACTATCCCTTGATCCGCTATTCAATGATATTTAAATCTGCTGAATATTCGATGTGTAAATTATCATTAAAAATATGAATTTTTATTTGGGCAGATTTAATTATAATTAAATATTACACTAAGTATAGTTTATTTTTAATACGCTATAAAATTAATATCGACATTGTTAACAAAAATACTTGGACTTTATTTAAAAATAAGTATATGAAATAGTAAATCTAAAAAATAATTTTTTTTTTTGGTAAATCTTTAAAAAAAATTCTTGAAAAATGATTAGGTGTTGTAGCAATAATGATTATATTGTAATAATGTAAAACTCTAATGAATAAAATATATAACTAGTACAATTTAAATAAGTTTTGCTCACCATGTATATGTTATCCACGACTTGAAAATTGTTATGTTCTCTGTTAAAATTGTTACAGGAATAATATTTTTGTTCAGTCTTAATAAATTTCATTCGAATAAAATATTAAATATATTCACATTTCACTTTCTATTGGTGGCCATAGCGGACCGAGATAGTAGACTTGCAAGAAACTACACAAGACTGGCTCAATGTACTAGTAGTCTAGTCAGTATGCTCTGATACCTTCTTTCACTCATTAATTAATTCCCCTGCTCTCAACATTTGATTTACGGTTGGGTACGAAATTCTACTCACTAATAGTTGTAGCGTATGTTAACAACTGGAATAAAGTGTACTTAAATCTTTTGGCGATTGAACCTTACTACTAAATAATAGAAATTATAAAAACGAAGTGAATTAAAACTTACATACTTAGACTATGAAAAATTGTATGAATAGTTTTGTTTAGTGGTATATATCATACTTATAAATGTTATAAATATTCAAATTATCAGATAAATGTGTTTCCCAAGGCAGGGAAAATAAACTATCCTCTATAGTTTACAAAATGGGTTTAAAAATAAGAATTATTTCTAAAACCATATTTAGCACATATTTTAGCGTATATCTGGCAAAATATTTGAAGTAAAATATACTATTTAACATATACCACTTAATTGATTTAATTTATTTACTTTTTATAAACATAATGTAATAAAACTTATATGAAAATGAAAAGAGAATGAATTGCTACGATTCAAATATAGAATACCACCATGCATTTAGAAATTAAAAATCAGAAAGTGTATAAATTTGTAGTCTTTTTTTTTTAATCATTACTAAATCTTATTAAAAAAAATTGAGAGTTTAAATTAGTTGAAAGAAAATAATTAGTACACTACTACTAATAAATGTTGTCAACAAGTTCAGTAAATAAATAATAAAAACTAGTATGAATAGATTACTCAAAAACTCATGCTAATTTAAAAGCACAGTTTCTTTGATAAATGATATTACAAAAATTCAATTACATTTTGTGTCTTATAAAGGTTTAAAACGAATAATATTAATAGTTCTAATATTAGATTTCAAGTATTACCAGGTGTATAACTTAATAATGGGGATTTTTAAAAAAATAAAAACACAGCATTTTAAATAGAAATACAAAAAGCGTTTATTCAAAATAATTACCATTTGAATTTATACATTTCTCCCATCTTAATGGCAAGTTATGGATACCTTTCCAAAAAAATTTTTCTTCTTTCGCAGCAAACCATTCCGATAGCCATTTTTCTACGTCTTCGTAAGATTTNCATGACATATTTTGATGAAATAAAAGTTACAAATTAATATTATTTGAAACAATTTAAATTTGTGAATGTTAAAATATTAAAAATAATATTTTAACATTTTTTAAGTATAAATTTTAATGTGTATTAAAAAAAATAGAAATCAAAATTATAAAATAAAGTGTCATCTGCCACACAGTTCAATTAAAAAACATTTTAAATTCAAAGTTTTATAGATTTTTATTTATTTATGGTTATTGCGGTTGAAAGTTTGCCTAAGGCAAAGACAACTTCGGATGTATATAAAATATGTGAGTGCATTCCACACATACATACCATTCCCTGGTATTATATATTTTTAAAGTATATGGTTACCATGATCATAGCAGTTTACAATACATGTGAAACATTAAATGTACATTAATTATATTTAAACAAACATAATTTGGAGCATATAATAAAAGAATTCAATTTCGCTATTCACTTTTGACAATTAAATACTTGACATGAGTTTTCTAATCCAGACGTTGCCGATTTTATTAAAGTTTTAATGATATCAGTGTATTGTTCGGTTGAACTAAAAAAAAGTTCAATTTTAGTTGAAAGTTATTTTAATTTATTTATATTTTTCAGTAAAAAATAATATACTTATTATGAATGTTATATTGTAACATATTTTCAAGTTCACTTGATGAGTAATTTTTTTTCATATTTTCACACAGTTTTCTTTTTGAACATTCATCTAATTCTTTTAAAAACTTAACTTCTACTTCATTTGATTTTCTGCTGGCTATTTTTTTATCTAATGATTTATACTTTCCTGTATAATTGTTTTGATAATTGATAGAACTATTTTTAGGTAGCCTACAGACAAAAAAAAAACATTTCTATAAATAAATAAAAAGTTTATATGAAGTTTTGTGTATAATTTATAGACATTGTTTATTTTTGAGATAAATAGCTAAGTTTTAGCGATTTGAGTACAAATATAATTAAAAAAAAAATTAACTTGTTGTTAATGAACACTATTTTAAAACAAGAATACTTAAATGATTTTTGGATAAGCCAGTAAAATGAAAGTTGTTTTTTCATCTATTAAAGTACATGTTGTTATATTTTAGACCAAAATACAGTTTTAAGTATTACAACTTATTAAATAATGTGTATAACAATTTCACAACACTTTTTTTTGTAACTTTTTTGTTATCCTGGAAGGTGTGTGATTAACATAATTAATAAATGAATATTGGAAATTTCTCTTTTTAAGGTCTAAAATCTAGAAAATTGTTCAAAATGTAGTATCCTTTGAAAAAATTGTTATCTTTGTATAGTTGATTGGAAGTATTATATAACCATGCAATGATGGTTTAATAGTCAAATAGATAGCTTCTAGTAGTATATCAATCCTCCTGTTAGCCTAATTAGAATTACCCAAATACTATTTGAAATCTAATCCTAACTTTCACTTATGAACACTATTGTCTAAGAGTGTACTTCCCACACAGTATTGTATTTTCGGTACTTAACTTTAGATAAGCGTTTTAATTAATAAAATATAAAAATGTGTTATCGAATATTAACAGTTATGCATTAACAATTAATATGTATAGTGTAACACTTAAACACTTAAGATCTCACCACTTTTTAACATATTTAATTTTAATTATGTAGGCAGTTGAAATTTAGAGGTATTGTTTAATAATATTTTTATGTCAAGTAAAACTATGAATACAGTAGATTATAATTAAGATAAAAATTGTTAGTAATAAAGTTTTAATGGAGTAAAATTTTGTATAAATCCTAAAAAAATGGTTAATTGTAAAGTGTTATCAAGTTTAACTATCAAACTATTAAATCATTTAATATTATTCTACTATTAAGAAATTTCTAGCTTAACTATAAAGCTGTTGAAAGACACCTGTTTTATGCGAATAAATATATAAAAAAATGTCATAAAATTTTTTAGAGAATTAACATAATGAAAAAGATTTTAATACCCTCTTTTAATTATGTTGATTATAATGAATTGTTAATTTGAAGAAGTAATTTCGTTGAAAAATAAATTTGTTCTGTTAAAAAATTAAATCACAAGTTTGGAAGTTTGATATACTTCAGTAATTATTATTAGAAAGTTTGTTATAATAACGGTTGCGCTAATAACATAATAAGCCAATTTATATATCGGATGGTAGTAAAAATGCAGAGTATAAAATGCATTTATTTAATTTTATCAGTATTTAATTAAAAATAATATTCTTCAATAATCTTAAGGATATTTAATTGTTTATGGAACTACAAAAAGTACTTTATTACCCAATGATAATTTTTTGAGAAAAAGTGCAAACTATATACTTACTGATACGAATTTTGTGTAGAATTTACTCGTATAATGGTTGGTGGTAAGGATGCGAACAGCAATCCTATTGGTAAAAGAGAAGCTAAAACTGTTACAACACTCGACCAAGGATTTATCCTGTAAATTATTTTAAATAATTAAACTTATCATCATTTTATTTCAGTATATTTGTATTATTACTTTCTTTTTATTTGAGAATGATAATTGTGTATTGGTGATTCGTATGTTTCATCTGGATAATGCAACATTTCATCGTTGTGGTAATTACCTACGTTTAACTTAGGGGTATAATTGGGCACGTATTCGCCAAAATCGTGTTTCATAGGCTTGAACTGCGGTAAAATTTCTCCATATTTTGCTGGACTTTTAGATTCCAATTGTAGAGATTTATTATAATTACTTTCAGAGTAGTATTCTTGTGTGGCTTGTGGAGATATTATACCATTTTCTTTGTTTCTTGTTAGTTGATAAGTAAATCTATTAGGGGGTCTATTAAAATAACTGGGCCTATAGAATACTTCTCCTTTGATATGAGGACTTGGTTTTTCAAAAATAGGATTTTCATTCGGTTTGTAATAATTACTTGGTAGAAAGTTTTCAAAAACTTCACTTGGGCGAATAGATGATACATTAACAGAACTCTCAACAGAAACTGCTGTTGTTTCAGGTACATGTAAATTTGCATTATTTTCTACATCTTCATTATTATCAGTTTGCTCTGTCGTTGTAGACACTTTAACATCAATTTGTGGTCTTTGATGTGAACTGCATGCTAGCATTAATAATAAAACTAACGTCTATAAAATTAATATTTTAAGTTAGGTTTCAGTAAAATTAATTTTAATTAATGGAATAATATTAAACTTACTTTTTCCATACTTTATAAATATATAAAAAATTGGTATTTTGTTTCGTTAACTCTTTACATTGTTCTCTCTGTTGAAAGAATGAATCGGAATTTGTGAAAAAAGAACAGTTTTATGGAAAAAGTTTACATTGTTTTTACGCAACACATGGAAGACTGTACAAATTAGATTACTATACATTATTTAAAAAAACAAACGTAGTATGACAATTTTTACTTTCTTAATTTTATATAATTTTTATTGTCTCTATGGTACAATAAAGAATATCTAAATTATATAATTTTATATAACTACACAAATTTTAGTATATACATAAATCGTATGATTTAGTAATATATATTATTATATATGTTACATATTATGTAACATAGATATTTACTATAAACTGGTGTGTTATTTTTCAAAGTCTTCATGAAATTAGTATTAATATTATAGACATAATTTATACTAAAGAAAGTATAAATATATTTGCTTAGTTAAATTTTGTTGATATCAAGAAGCTATAAATAAATACTAATTTTTCTTTAAAAAAAAATTTTACTAAACTTCATATACTTGTATTTAAGTAAGTACGTAATAATTATATAAATATATATATATATATATATATATTGAAATAATTTGACAATATATATTTTTAAATGTTTTTACAAACGAGTTTGGTGTTCTTATTTTTAAGATTTATGGCAAATATAAACTTGCTGTAATAGCAACAAATATTTGAGATGATTATTATTTTTAAGTATAATAACGTTAAAAATAAAATTCATTTATTATTTACCTTGTAAAGTTTATTTTATTTATCTATGTTTGTCATTGCAGAAGGCTCAATGCACTCTTTCACATTTGAACACATCTGTCAATAAGTTATCTATATGAAATGTTTTTAGGAGCTAGAACATTTCCCTCAAAAATTTTTTTATATAAGAACTTTGAAAAATAAAGTTATTCAAAAATAAAAAAAAGTTATATTAACAGTAAAATATTCTTTAAAATAAAAAAAAAATGTAAATAAATAGATTTTAATATGTTTTTGTCTTATTTACTTCTTAACATAAGTATACTCTGATGTGTAAAATTGTTTGCAAATAAAAACTCCTAAATTACTGACAAATTTATTGATAGTATGAATTAAAATGAATTTTCTATTCATTTATATTTTTTAACTACCTGATCTTGTATTTTAAAGATAGGATAAGGAACGATCACATAAGAGGGAGTATAGATGTAGCGTCAATCGTGGATAAGATGAAAGAAAATAGACTTAGATGGTTTGGTCATGTTATGAGGAGAAAAGAATCGGAAGCTGTAAGAATAGTTATATAAATAAATATTGAAGGAAGAAGAGGTAGAGGAAGACAAAAAAGAGATGAAGAGATGTTATTGAATGCAATATGAGGATAGCTGATGTGAGCGTTGAGGATGTGGGAGATCGTATCAAGTGGAAGTTTAGGATAAGGGTGACCGACCCCAAGTAATTGGGATAAGGGCGAGGAAAAAGAAGAAAAGAAGAAGATTTTGTATTTTAAAGAAAGCACATTCTATCGAAGGTTAAGGGATTTTCAAGAATAAAATAATACTTTTTGTATGAGTATTAAAAAGTTAAATTAAATGTTAAATTGTGTGGTATTATTTTGATGTTTAGGATGTTATTATGTTTATCTAATTATTAAGTATTATTCTAGAGTATTTTTTTTTATCTTTGGAAAATTAACAACGTAACTATCCAAATGACTTGTGCCTATAGTTATTGTTTTTTTGTAACTTATCGCTTATGCATTTCCGTTTTCACAAGGAAAGCGAACTGTAAACTTATTCTTTATTGCGCATTGTTTGACTACTAATAACGATATGGAGTTCAAGCACAAACAATATGTGTATTTTTACTTTCATTTTCCAAACCTTACAAAATTGGCTTTAAACGAGAAACTTGACATTTTTGTACTTAGTTCGTTTGTATGATCTTCACAGTACCATCAGTTGTTACGCGACACTTAAAGTGGTTATACATTAAAAATATATTAGTCATTTCTTAGTGAATTTTATAAATAAATAATATTAAGTGATAGGTTTTACATTATTGGTAAAATATGTTCAAGATAACACAAATTTTTACGGGGGCTTTTTGTCTGACAATGACGATTCAGGTTATCAATGCAAATGCTATTGATCAAGAGCAGTTTCAGCTGCCGAATAAGCCAGTTACGGTAGAAGCAAGAGGTTTGGATGCACAATCAATGATGTCTGGGATCGCTCAATCGTTAATGAGCAGGACAGGAGGAACCAGTAGCCAAGTACAGAAAAAAATAATTGTTTATATTTTTAACAGGCACTTAGTGGGATTATAATTATTCGTTGTGAAAATAACACGTGAACGTATATTTAGAATTATTGTATTGACACGGATGTAAAAAAAAGAAACGCCCTGGGTTACTGCAAAATGTCTTCCCTGACTACCCTAGCCAGTCCTTGTCGATTTTTCAAGATGGCCACAGGACTTTGCGATCTGCCCGATATTTTGGCTAGTATTTCTTTTATTAAATCTCGCGCCCATTTCTTTTTAGAAAATCTACTAGCTAAAATCGATTTACTCTCTCCTTAGTCTTCAAATATTATTCTGTTATTAGTTACTTTAAATCTTATCTATAAAATTTCTATCCACTTCATTCAAATAAAACTTTAGCTTATCTAATTACTTTATTTTAATACACATTGTTTTAGAGATAAAATTGACATTTTTTTACTGAACATGGACTAACTGTTACTAAATTTTTCGTATATTTACTGAACATAAATAACATACAAAGGACGAAATATTTGTGTTTTAATTTTAACTACCTTATACTTTATTTCATTTAAGCCTAGATGTTGTTATGAAGATTAAACCCCAAGCAAAAAAAATGTGCTCATTGTAGACATTTTTACTCTATCAACATTTTATTCGCTAACTCTTACTTTAATTGATAGTATCCCAGTTATTCAGTAATATTTTTACAGTAAATGAATATTACTTATACGTAATACACTATTGGATATAATTTTATATATAACTTTTGGAAAGATAGGTAATGTTCACAGTATGTATCATTTTTGACAGACAGTACAATAATGTCCAACAGTTTTTCCTTTATACTTCACTAATTACATGATAGTTTGCCAAAGTGAATAATAATTCTTTTCGGTTTTTTTTTGTATTTAAATAACGTTATAAATTTAAAATAATTTTTGACATTGAATTTACAATAACGTTAGAAGTTCAAAAAATGTTAATCGTTAAACATGGTGCAACGTAAAATAACGTAATATCAAACGTCCGAACGTTTTACAAATTTTTGACAAAAGATAGCACTATGACATAGTGCGCCATATCAATTACTAAAATACATAAAATGATAAAACGATTAATGTTATTGAAAAAACATTTAACGTAAAAATAGAATAATGTTATAATATAAATAAAAACATTAAATTCAAAAATTGATTAAGGTTTCTGTAATACAAACAAATAACGCAAATATTTTGTAATGAATTTTATTATACCTTTTTTTAGATCATAAACCAGTTTATTATTTACACCGCAGCAAACTTAAATAGAAAGGTCCAACGACGCGTATAATTTTCTTCCTTTTCATAAAATGTATTATAACTGTCACGGAAGTTGGGCATTTACATTAAAATAATATAATGTGACAGTTCCGAAAAAAAACTGTTTACATAAAGTTACACTTGTATTGTATTTTTATTTTTACACTAATTTAATACTTATTTCATGACATTTCATATTTAATAGTTAAAATTAATCAAAACTCATAGTAAACTACTATTATATGACGAGGGATTTGAAATAAAATAAACTACAATTTTTAATTAGGTATGTTATTTTATTCTTGGTAAGATATGTATCAGTAGCGACGATCAACTTGGGTCACTATTCGACTTCCTAAGGGCGTGTTTGGGTAGTACGTAGATTTTCTTCTTATCAATCAACCATTATAAGTAGTTAAAATATTAATAACTGTATTCATAAATTTGAAAACTTAATGATTTATTTAAAATTGAAAAATATAGATGCTAAAACATTGTAACCTTAATAATAACTTTTATTCAATGGAATTCGTCACAATAGGCACTTATTAAGTATTCGTTAAACTCAATAATCCAACAGTTATTTATAACAGCCCGACTGTTTGTTAAGCAAAAGTCTGTTATCAGTTATTATATACTTGAAATTATTGTGTCTAAATATTGAAACTATTTGTATATTCTGTAATAAAAAACTAAATTTAATTTTTTTTTACTTAAGTGCTAAATATTTTTTTTCCTTTACCAAAAAAAGGTTATTAAATAATAAATAACCTGATTTGGTAAGAAGTTTATACCGCTACAAATTTTAGCCAATTATGATGTAATAATTTTTAAAAGTGAAAAGCGAAAAAATTCTTAAAAGGTTGGTAGCACATCTAAAATGATTAAATTTTAATAGTGACGATATCAATTATCACCCATTTACCTATATAAAAATAAACAGAATACAAGCTAGGAGGCCAACATAAGAGTAGAACCTCCAAACCTGTAACTATCGCTTCAAATATGACCTCTGCAACAAGTACGAAACGTTAGCATAAAACTGAAGACGTTGATATATCTGTAAACATTTAATCAAAAGCCCTATTAAATTAATTTCACATTAAATTTATTAATATTAAATTTATCAAAAAAAAAGGTCATAGTTTTTTTATGTGGTAAAAAAATGAAGCCCTAATAGTTATTTTTCTGTACAAAAAATAAGTCAGTACGCATTTTTGGCATAAAATTGTAACTTATATTTGAAATTTTGATTTTATATTTTCATAAGGCATAGTCATTTTTTTAGGTGTCCTGAATATTTAGGAGTTAATTGATTCATATCTTTAACCATAAGCTCTTTGATTTAATATTAAATTAAGGATCAACAAAGTTTATTACCAAACAGTGTTTTTATAAATTTTTACTAATGGACTTTTAGTATTACATTAAATTGAAACTTACTGCTAATTACAAGGGGTAATCACCGTTTATTCTAGTTTTGTTGTTGACAGTGTAGTTAACTAATTAATTGCACAAACTCATTTTAATATTACTTTCTGTTTATTTACTTGAACTTACTACAATTTTAACTTAACATTTAAATGACATTTTATGATTTTAGTATGACACAATTTATGTTTATAAAATTAATTTTTGTATATATTGTAATAATAAAATGCAATTGAAAACTGCATTTTTTTAATGCTAAATTAATATTTAAAAAAATACCTCAGTAAATTACAGTTATTTCAAATCTTTTTTTTCTGCTTTTATCTTTATTCCAATCTTCTATGGTTTAATATGTAAATTCTATATTTTAACATCCTTGTTGTTAATTTGTGTGTAGTCGTTGAGCTTAAACGTGTCAAATGTGATGTTGATGGTTGTTCTGAAGGCGCTTATTTGGGGCGCCGCATATATGACAGGTGGTCATAAGGGACGTAAAGATAACCTATCTTTTGGCCTACAAGATATTATTTCTGAGTCTGATGTTTTAATGTTTCTCGGATTTTTAGTTGCTGATGAATCAGGGCATTATGATTGTTTAAATCGTGTAGCATGTGAACAACCAACAAAAGCCATAAGCTATTTGAAAAGCGCTGAAATGGTTTGGCAAACTGCAAAAATGTTTGATGGGTAATAATAACAAATAATTTTACATACATTAATTATTAATGATTGTATCATTAATATAACAATTATAGTTAGTAATATAATTTTAATATTTTAGAGTTATTCCTTTGGATAACAAATACGAAAAAATGATGAACCGATTACAAGAAGCGATTGAAGATGGTAGAGCAAATGCCAATTGCCAAGCTATATATAAGTGTTCAGAACCTCCTAATGATAGATTTAACACAGTTGAGAACTAAAACATGCAAATAAAAAAATATATCATGGAATTTTAAGTCTGATAGAAAAACATATAATTGAAAATAAGAAATGTAATATTATACTTTCACATAAAATTAAGTTCTTTTTTTGAATATGCTATACAGATATTAAATGATAAGTGATAAAACATACAGTATATTTGTAATATTATTATTATGACGCTAAGAATATTGTTATATTTTACTACTAAATAGAAATAAAATTTTTGAAAAAAAAATTATTTACTGGAATAATTTTTGTAAATACTTTTAGGAATATTGTAAAATATGGTTAATATAATAGTAATGTAATTAAACTCTGTTGTTTTTCAATAAGTATAATACATTTTACTGAAATTAGAACTATATATATTACAGGTATTTAGTCATATCAAATATTGTTCTGTCATTTATTAAAGATAGTCGATGCTCTAATAAACTTAATTTTTGTATATTTAGTATCCTCAGAAATATCTATAGGATTTCCAAAAAATTTGAAAAATTATATTTATTGTTGTATGGAAATATTTCTAAAAAGAGTGAAATTTCATGTACAAATAATAATGACAAAATATAGTAATCAACATGCATACTTCAATATAGCCCTAGACAATTAACCATAACTCGAAGAAAATGTTAACTGAAATTTTTTCATAATAATTTCATTTATCATTTGCTATTGCAGATAACTATAAATATTAAAGTTTTTAGTAAAACATTAGGTTAAAACACAATCATGGTTTAATTAAATCAAAAACAGTCCATTTATTTTTAATTATTAATCAATATAAATGTGAATCTTTCTTCTATCGTCTATATTGAATTAGTTAATAATTAAAACTAAAAATCTTTGTGCTCAGTGTTTGTGTGTTACGGTACGTTATTAACGCGGTGAGAGGCGGCTCATGGTACCCATTCTTAAATGGGTCTTTAATTCTCAGTGGCGCACTGTTGCGCTGAAGTGTGTACGAGACCATTCCAGTATTTAATGTAACACCTTACAAACATTATTTGTCGCAGTTTCTTTCAATAAAAATTAATCATTTTGCATTTCGCATGAAATATTAAATTAATATCGTGTAAAGTGTTGTGAGTTTTTATGCCATTAGTTGAATAGCATTATAAGAAATTTTTTATCAGAAAATTAATATTGATGAAAAAATATATCTTTGAGCTTGTATAGTTGTGAAAAAAATTAAAACTATTCTATTTTATAGTATTATTTTAAATTTTTTATTCTTACATGAATTAATTAATAGATTCCTCGTTTATTAAATACATTAGATATTCATATACCAAATGAATTGCATTTAAAATTGTTGGAATTTACCATCATAATTAAGTAAGTTTTGATAATAATTATTTTTATTAGTTTAAGTGACAAATATTATTTTTATTCAAAAAAAGTGTTGGAAATTGTATTATATTCATAAATGAATCGAATACATGTTTATTGGAGTATTGTATAAATGTCAATTAAAACGAAAATCATTATTAAATCAATATGAATTAATTTCATTTATGTTGATACATCTTCAGTTACTTTAAAAATTTTATTCAACTTCATTTAGAACTTTTGATATGCCAAAAGTTTAATTACTATTAATCTTAGTATTCAATTACTGCTTTATATAATTGATAATATATATTTAAACGTATATTTTCAATCTTATTCATATATTTATAGTAATTGTATTTGTAATAACTTTTTTACTATTTATTCATAATAAAACTTTACATTGTAAATGGGCCTTGTAGTTCCATATTTATTGCAAATTAAAATTTTTAAATTGTAACAACTGTTTTTGCTAATACTTAAGGTGAACGTCTTAATAATGTTTCGAAAAATTTGAGTTTGAACGGAAGCGGATACTACAGAACAATAATAACAATAAACTGTATCGTGGGGAAATATGAAACAACAGGCAAAAAAATACATTTCGCATTGTGCTTGAAAGAAAAACTTTCGCATTAGTCCGTTCAACTCAGTAAAATTATTTTTGCAACACCTAAAATATTCTTATTAGATGATATAAATTAAATACACTTGCAATTTATTATACTTACGTACATTGTAATAATTGTGGAGATCTCTTTCAGTGGTTTCTATTTCTTGTACGAACACTTAGGTTCTTCTAGATACCAAAATAATAATTTAATATTTTTTCATTCTGTTTATTTTATAAATCAAATAGCCGAAAGCGAATTCCAGTCATTTTCCCCAATGCAGCAATCTCCTATTGTACACCTACTTCGTTATATAAATTTGCTATTGATCGATGCTTAGTGTTCGTGACCGTTTTACTGTGCGTCCCTCGCTTTGTAAATGGTCTATTAATTTGCTGATGTGAAAATAAATATAAGAAGCAACGACACGTTTAATGTGACACAGAATACTTAATATCCATTAGGTTTATAACGACATTACTCACAAAAAACAATCGGTTTTCTTCCAACTGGATTTTCCATGAATTTTTGTTTTTGTTCGATGCTTCATGATTTTCTTTTAATGTTTACTTTTGATTATTTTCGCGTATTAATTATTTTAGACACAAATTTTTCTCACGGTTCTGTTAACAGAAGAATGAACCAGAAATTTTGACAAGGTGAAACTTATTGTAGTATAATTTTAATGTTATAATTATTAAATGCCTAATGCTAAATTACCCAATTCATTCTAATAATATTTTAAAAGTATTATTTTTCTCATTTTAAAATTCTAATAAAGTTATTCATTTTACATTAAAAGCATTTTGAGTTTGAATAACAACAGATGATAATTGTTATTAATGAGAGAATTTTTTAATTCATAGTTATTTTTTATGAATTAAATTTATTGTATTATATTATTTGATATGGACATAACTCTAGAAGGATTTTTTTTTGTGATATAATATTTTATTATTTGTATGAAAAGACTAAATTTATTAATTATGAATAGTATTTTACCATTTATTGTTTTTCTTACTTATACAATAGATAAATTTTATGTATTCTATAAGCAAACTATTTAGTTTATTATTAGACTATTTAACTATATAAAATTCTTCTTTAAAGTCAATATCACTCGTTTTGATGACATCTCATATGTACAAATATTTGTATGATTTTTGTATTGATATCCCCAACAAAATTACGTTTTTTTTTGCTCTTTTTCGCTAATGACTAAGTTAAATGACTCATTATTCGTAATAGAGTTATAATTTATATTTCTTTATTTATTTGTTATTTTCATTTTTTTATCCATACTATTAATGTGGCAGTACTGATTCGTGACAGCATAACTTGTTGGTGTGATGTTAAGTTATACGGTCTGATGCCGATTTTCAATTATATTTATGTACGAAAATGAAAATTATTATTGTAATGTATTTGACACTATGATTGTTTGAAAGTGAATTTCTGTATTTGGATACGAATAGTCTATAATGCATACACGGTGGATAATTTTCAATGTGTATATTTACTTACATTTGGTATATTTATATAGTTTTCTTGCTTAAAAATTGAATAATAATATCGATGACGAACAGATGGTGTTATTTTTTATTCTTTTAATCAATCTTCAACGATTATCCATGTGTAATATGCATGATCGTCCGAATTTCAATTTAGAAGTAACATCACGGTAAAGCACTTTCATCTGTTTATTGATATGGTTACTTATTACTTATTTTCATTGAACATATAGTATAGAAGAGAGTAGAACAAAAAATAATATATATTATTTTTTTTTTAAACTCATATATAAGGGAAAAAATATTAGTATAATGAACCAATATATTAATAATAATAATTTTCCAACCAAACCCAACCCAACCAAACCCAACCCAACCAAACCCAACCCAACCAAACCTATTATTTATAATAAACAATAAATCTTCCAATGTAAATATTGTTAATAAGATTCAAACGAAGTTACAAATGTACTTGAAAATATCTCTACAATTAAAATCAAAGGTTAAATTTAAATTAAATCGAACCATGGAAATTTGTGACGGTCGATTTGATTAATCGGACATAGTGATGACTGGCCGAGGTTCGAATTATTCGCGCGAGAAATAAATTTAATTAAAACAATATACCACTACAGAATTAATATTATTATATTTTCATTGTATAAATGGGTTAATTTCCCGGTGAAACGTATTGAAGAGCCAAGAGGAATGATTACAATTCCTATCAAATTCTGTTGTCACCAAAAATGTTGACCCGATTCCAATACGGATAACAAAGTCATTAGCAATATTGTGTATCGAATTGTTAGTGTTCATTACCATCTATTGCCTACATAGTAATGTTTTTAATGCATTAATTACATTTACTCAAAACTAACATGCTAATTAATAAAAAAGTACAAGGTTGGGTTAATAAGAGCATTTAACTAAGTATTTTACTGTCATCTCTTTTTCACGTGCCCATATAAATATTCATCTATGCAGTTCTAGAGTATGATTTGGGTTGAGCTCAATTATTCGCAATGTTCTACTTAGTATACCACGCGACCATAAACTTTAAAGATTAATTTAATGAATACTTAAAAGTGTATAAAATATATTTAAAATAATGTACAATTATAACATAAATATATATTCACATATTGATAAAAATGTAAACAAATAGTGATAAACAAATTGTAATGTGTTATTTAATATTATGACTAATAACTCAATTATAATCTAGGTAATTTAGTTTTTCAGATGAGTAAATTCGAAAAAACACATCCCCACAATTAATGTTGACAATGAAAGTTCAGAAAAAATAATAAATTGCTTATTGAATTAATACAGTACATAAAAAATAACTCTTTTAATCTAAAATATAAAATAGTTAAGCCTATTTAAAGAGTTCATGGAGTTATTTAAGATTAATGCAGTATTGTCCACTGTCCCGTAATATTTTTTTACCGATTTGCCGATAAAGTTAAAATTTTATCCTTATAAAGAGAAATATAAGCCTTCAATAATTTATAAAATAGTGAAGTAATATTAAACGCTGTCCATAGCATGAAAATTGGTGCACAATGCATGAATTTTAAATTGTTTATTGTATCGACTAATAGATCTAGATTATAACCCTGAATTTTTTATTTTTTTTAGTTTTATAAATGTAGCTATAATTTTTTTGGCGAGATATTTAAAAATTGCAATACTTATCATAGTAACACTTTATAAAGATTTATCCATCTATATTGCATTGT